AAAATCGACTCTTTTCAATACTGCAATACTTAAGGAAGCGTGCAGTCCGATTTTGATGAAATTTTTGGTATCTGTTTACTAATCCATGGTATCTCCACCAAGCATTTTTTCAATTTTTGCAAAAATTTGAAAAATGGAATATTTACAAAAATGGTTGGAATGGTTTTGATTAAAATTTAGACTGCTTTCAGAGTAAACTAATGATTTTCCTCGAGCAAAGCTCGGTCCCCAGGTACTTAGATATAAATATAGAAGATTTTGGGGCTGATTATCTCACAATTTAACTTTTGCCTTGGATCACGGTTTTTCATAAAATCAAAAAACACATGTTATGTCAACATTAGTATTTATTTATTAAAATCAATCAAATCAACTCTTCTAGTAATCAAAAATAATAAAATTAGTTTTACACTGTCCTTTCATATCTTTCACATATATAGTAATATCTACTACCTTAATCTGTTGTACTAATGGCAAATCTTCCCTATTCCACTCGTACTCGTCTGTGAAAATAACCCCACAGAGCATTAATAAAATTATAATATAATAATAAGTTAACAAAATAAAATTTGCTGATCTCTAAAACCAATTGAAACATGAATAATTGATTTGCTAAAAGAAAAGATTGGCAAAGGTGACTAACATGATTTCAAATAAAGTAGCCTACAATTCAAGGCAATTTACATTCGATTTAAGAATAGTTTTACAAATGAAACTTTTGGCTTGGAAATTATACATCAGACAATAAATTAATTAAATAAAGAGACTTACATTTTCTACGAGTAGTGTTCGTTTCGGAAGATGCCAAGACAGTAACGGTTTATTCAAATCATCCTAGGTAAAGTCGGCGTTATCAATGCCTTCTGAATCTACTAGTCTTAACCTATAATATATAGTACAAAATGACTATCGATTTCATACATAGTTTATATTTCTGTGAAGAATTTTTTAAACCTAATATTCGGTATACCTACACTGTAATTGTCCTACTGTTAACATTAAAATATGTGACACAATTTTCCGTAATCAACGACGTAAATAAACCTACCACATAGTTCTGTTGTGTGCATTGTGTAAAGATAGTGTTAATGACAAGTGTAGACAATTTAAGAAAACTTAAACTTAAAAACTTCTACGAGTCTCGTTAACACTATTAACGCAATTGTGTACACTACTTTACATACGACCGGTTTTTAATGACTAATAATCACTACTCAAAACTTCTAAGAGAGGTTATGTTTTTGTTTATAACCTCTCATTGCCACTAACATTGATGCGACGACTCATCACAATGTACCAATTGTACAATGTATTGCAATCACATTGTACCAATCACAAATTGCAACAACCGTTAACAATCAAATTGGTAAACAGCTGATTAGTTGAAGTCGAAGCATTATTACAATTTTACTTCTTCTCTCTCAATCCTTAAACTTCATTGGTCCTTTACCTGTGTTGTTACGTAAAACTATGCTGTTATGTAAGTAAACAATGCTGTTATGAGAAACTTTCCAATTCTAAGTACTGAACTGAAATATCTATTTTAAGAAACGGATTTAGGTAAAATATTTTATTCAATTTGTTTGGATCAGCTGTATGAAATTGTGAAAGAAGCATTTAACAGTTCTGACTGTTTACATTAAAATGTCAATGCTAAGGTAAATAAATATTGTTAATTTTCTCATGCTTCCATGGAGACCAATTAATATTTAATTTTGAAAACCTCACCTCAAGACTTAATTTGATACACCTATTCATTTGATACACATTCCTAGATATGTGAACCATTTCTCTGCTTAATTTTGGCTGTATTGGTTTAGTATTTTAGTCGTGGCAGCTGCACAGACAAACATACACCCCCTACTAGCAGCAGAGCCCGTTGTGGTTAAATATAACGGTCTCTAGTAAAATAATGGTTATGAAATCAATACACCACTTTACTCTCTAATATTAATGGTACAGATTAAGCACATAACATTATAATCACACACTTAACATAAGGAACACACTTTAAACACAAATGCAAATTGTTAACAACAACATTTAATCAAAGAAAAATCAATTAAATAACAATACAGTAGACTCCCTCTTATCCGGACACCTTTTGGACATCGGTTTGACCGGACTACACTCGGTAGAAGTGACATCTCTTTATCCGGATAATTATTATCAGCACATCGGTTTAACCGGTCTAGATTGGCAGGAAGTGGGCGGTACTGAAACGACTGTTCTCGGGGGAAAGATTTGAGACCAGTTATTACGTGTCTAAATACAATGCTCTCCTAATTTTAAGTCAAATACTGTATAGAGTATGCATTTAAACGGTCCGTTTTAATGAGATTTTGGGGACGTCCGTTTAACGGAAAACCCCCGTTATCCGAACTGGCCTCGGTCCCGAGGAGTCCGTATAAGAGGGAGTCTACTGTATAACAATAAGCTGTCAAATTATCAACACATGTTTCGTATGATTAGATTATGCATGATGGTAAACCAATTATTGCCATCTATAAAAATTATTGGTCTTTCTTTTTCTAGTCGCGTTAGCTCTTCTACCCGACAGATTTTCATAGATTGGCCTTAAACTAAAGGTATGGACGCACCACTTATTTGCCATCAAGCATCAGCATTCATTTTGACGTATATTTCTAGTTATGCACAAACTGCCTCCCTGTACATTTCTAATAGGAGTTAAATTTGGGTTATTTTGAGTTTGTTTGGCTCTTCTACCCGACCGATTTTCATAATTATAGTCTTAAAAAAAAACTATGCAAGCACATATTTGTCATCAAGCATCATCATTTTAAAATTTATCTAATGTATTACTCAAAGAACAATATACATTTGATTTTTTCAATTTTTTACTTCAATCGAAGACGTATTCCAGCAGTTCTAATTTAATTACCTTATATGTTTTGGTCTAATAACCTTTAGTGAAATACCAGCTATTAATTGAGATATTGATTATTAAGATCAGACTACCTAAGGACACTGCTGAATCACGCATCAACAATAATTATAATCGTTTTAGTACTTATCTGCAATCAATGATACGTAACTCTATTTTTATTTAAGTTATTTTATATATCTTGTTCTTAAAATATTCTAGAAATAAAGGCTTTCATTTGAGATATTGATGGTTTTAGTCAGTCAAGTTCATGAAACTGTATCGCTCAATCAGAAAACATAAATTTGATTATATCTTGGATATGCAATTTAGTTTTAGATATATTAACTCAATTCTAATTACGTTATCCTGTTTGTTTTGACCTAAGAACCTTCAGTGAAATACCAGCTTCCATTTGAATTATTGATTATTAAGATCGGATGTACCTAAAAAGCACACTGCTAAATCACGAACAACCCAAATTGTTAAACAAATTTAGTTATTTATCTTCGATTTATAGTCAATCGATCTTGCTTGCAACCTCAACAGTAAGTGTTGACTTTGACGGGTTTCACCTAGTAAATCATTAAAAAAATCAAACTTTCGTACCGTAGAATGGGGTGAATAGAAACACTTTTTAACTTTTAAGCTTCTGTAAAACCGATATTTTTAATTTTTAAATTTTCAACACTAGCTCATATTTTCGGTCTTGAACTCCTCTACTCAAACCAGTTATCCATTTTTTTTTCTTTTTAATCATTAAGCAGAAAAAAAATAAAATATGGCTGTTTCTATTCACCCCGCACTTTGGGGTGAATAGAAACACTGTGTTAAATTGATCATTGTTGCTTTTCCTCACTTACCAGGGACAATAGAAACATGAAATTTATGCTTGTTAGCTTAGGTTGTTGTAAATAAAAATATTTAAAGTTAATTAACACATTTATTTATAAGTACGAAGTATAAAAACGTTGTTTTCATAAACCCTTATCCAAACAAATCGGAGAACATAAATGACAATGGGTGAAACCAGAGTAACAAAATCTTACTTAGAAATCAACTAAATGAAGAGTAAAATCAGACAAATCTTCCTCAAAATACAACACTCCCTTAAATCTACAAGTTGTACACGGCTTGGGAGTTGGAAGCCGATCGTACTACGTCATCGACTTTGAAGAGGGCCTCTTAATCTGTCTCTCAGAACTTGTTGGTTTGCGCAATTTTCTTGATGAATCTTCCTATTTATCCTTCCTCGTCAAATTCAATAACTTTTGCAACATATAAACGATAGCAAGTTTTGTTTTTCCCCATTACTTTGACAATTACATGATCATGAAGGGACAACTTTGAAGACTCACTGATGTCTTGAGCTAGGTATGCTCGTTCTTCTTCATCAAATTGTTCGTCTTTGTCACTTTCTTCCAGTGTGACTGATGTAGAATCATCTTCATCTCTGGTATTTTTTTTTCTTTTTTGGGGGGTTTTCTGGGCACCACTGGTTAAAAAAAAGTGTTTCTATTCACCCTGGTTTTGCAAAATCATGACATAACCTAAATTAAAAATAAAGTAAAAAAATATAGTTTATTCTAAGGCTAATCTATTAACACACTTGGTTTTAAGATACCTAAGACAATATAAAAAATGGTTATTAACATAAATACATGTAATAGGTTCATACTTAGAGAGAAAGTTTTGAAAAGAATGTTTTTCGCCAAAATTTTCAAATGATGTTTCGCATCATCCAACATCCGAAGCAGTGATACCAATATGCTAAACTAATTTTTCCCAGGTAGATAGGATATGGTTATAATGGGGGAAAATAATTCCCTTATATAAAGTCAATGTATAACAAAGTTATAAAAATGTGAATCATTCATTGAAGTTTTGTTTCTATTCACCCTGTTGTTTCTATTCACCCCATTTTACGGTAATTATTTGCAAATTTACACGAATCAGGCTTTCCAACAACCCATTAATTAATAAAATTGGTTCAGTAGAACTTTAGATTTAGTTGTACAAAGATTTTTAAAACTGAATTATATATAAGTGGATAGATAGATAGATATTTCACAATGTCCTCCCACCATGGTATTCTACATGTAAAATTTTTTTCTAGGTTCTTATTAAGTGCCGAGAGGATGTTGCAAAAGCTCTGAATAGAAATGTAGCTGAATTTGAGCTTTCAATGGGCATGTCAAATGACTTTGAACATGCAGTAAGTTGAAAACTATATACATCTGCTTTGTATTATCTTCATAAAGGCTATCTTGAGTCTTTGGATAGCAAACTTTATCACAAGAGTCTAGCAAAAATGAATTGAAAAGGGAAAATTTAAATAACAATAAGTTTTCTCTGTAAATATAACTTTCTGAAGAAAGTTTTGTTTCTGGGAACTAGAAAGCCTTCTTAGGAAATGTTGATGCTCATACAAAACATGTGAGCTTTTGAGTGGGCATTTGTATCTGGACTTGTTAAATTACAATGTATAATATAATTTCCAAACAAAAGCATCTTGATTTGTAATAGATTTATTTTGATCAATCAGTTTATTATAGTGATTGATGTTGTTATTCTTTTATTTTGCAAAAGTGTAAGTAGCCTAACTCATTTTTGTTGAAAATAGTTAGTTGTTCAACTTTTGCTAATAATGGAGTATGTTTCATTCATCCTATAATTCCTGTTTAGTATTTAATAAAAGTTGGCCAGCTGATGTAACAGAGAAAGAGAGTCAGTAGCACAAACCCAAATATGGCCAACAATAGGCACACAATACAATTTATTATGTAAACATTACTTAATTTAATTTTATTTATTTATTCCACGGACAACAATAATAATTTACAATAATAATATGCATATCATACAAAAAATTTAAAAAATTCATAATATGCGTACAAAGCTTGTAGTTATTGGTTATGAGACGGCAGACATCTATCTATCTATATATATAATACGCTAAGCCGATTTTTGTGAACAGAACTCGTCCCTCATTTTTGGATTTTGATGATTAAAGTGTAAAAAATAGCCCTGATCTGTAGTTTTGCAAAGTGTTTTTCATTTTTTTAAATCTTTATTAGTTTGGACAGGATCTTCCACCAAAGTTGGGTTTTCTCCTATAAGATTAACATGGGGGAATCTAAATATTTAATTGGAAACTTTGTCTCCACTAAATTGAGAGAACGGCTGGGTGTAGAAACTTGGTCTCTGTCCAAAGAAAGGTCTCGGTCTGTAGATTAGCCATCAAAAGAAAAACAAAGTAAATTCCCTTAGGGCTCTGCCCCAGAAGCTCTTAAAGTTCCCTTCCCAGATTTGTTTACATTATCGTCATATGCATAATTTTTCACTACTTTTTAATGAAACCGCTGTTAATATTAAAATGGTATTTCAAAGAATACATATTATAGGGAGTCACTGAGTTTGTCAAAAAGAAGTATTTGCAATGTAATTTTCTGATTTTAAAATTAAATTTGTTTTGCATCATGTTATGTTTCGCAATAACGTTTAATTATGAAATCATTGGAAACTCTTAATACTGTAGTACGGGTTGGTGTCTGCCTTTTTGACCACTTTTGCCGATATTTTGTCATATTATTCAAGACAGATCATGATAGGTTCATGAGATTATTTCCATACATGTTTTCAATTATTTAAAAAGATTTCGACTGTCTAATACAATAAAAAATAATACAAGTGCAGAAGGGCACGTTGCCCATATTAGCCGTGTCCATATTTTGTTAAATTAATAGTGGTTCACAGCAACTGGATTAAATTTGTTATAATTTGTATGAAGAAATATTAAAGTGCACTTCAACTGACCCAGATTGTAACATAAAAAATGCCCAAACTATATACTACAAAAAAGGTTCAGGCCAGAGCCATTTTAATGCGCTTGGATTGTGACATTTATTATTTCGACTTATATTTCTTGTAATCAACGGATTATTCATCTGCATAAGAAATTCATTGTGCTCTTATCCTGTCTAATAACATCCAAACAGAGAAAACCTTGCCTAAAATAGTACCTATATCTTGACAGATGGTTTGCAGTGGCCTGTTACGGACCGTGGCCCACTTGGTTTGCCTTAAGTGAGATTTTTGAAAATAACACTACATTTAGACTGTAAAACAAATTTCACAAAGATTAATTGCCAATTAAGCAGTTATTGTCATGACAGAAAAATCGTGTTCCTTTTGAACTAGATCTCCTCATCCTTTCTAAGATACGTTGATTAACAACAATGCATGTAAACGTCACTATTTACGTAACAATTTACAGTATTTGCTTTTTGGAATTGCAGCATTGCTTTGTCATTTGCATTATTTGTTGCCAATGAAGCCGCATGACCATATGAACGAGGTCCCTCATTTCAAGAATAAAAGTCAGCTTCACTACAAGTATATTCCACTACACCTAACATTCCGAAGAGAGATTATATTGAACACTTTATGTAATTGATAAGGCTGAGACAACTGACATCCGCATGTCATGGAATCAAAATTATGCTTAAAAAATTACTATTGCTAAAACTATAGGGTTATTCATTGGCACAGTAGTACGGTATGATGACCGACGTGACGAAGGAAAAATACTAGGTGGCGTTCGCAGAGGCATCCACAAAATTGAGCAGAGTCATCAAGGGTACATATTATATTGTTTTTGTCACACTACAGTAAAAACAGTCGTTTTTAATGCATGCGTTGCGGGTCTAAAGTAGCATTTTTACTCTTTAGGGAGTAAAAATCGTTTTTAGCCTCTATGGAGTAAAAATCAGCCGTTGTCAACTCAGTTGTAAATTTCTATTTTAAACGATTGCATGTATCGAAATATGTATCGATTCGTGCTTCGTAATCATTTTAACCTACTGTCTACAGTCACTTCCCATAGCATTTTATCATTGCAGATACATTAATCCATTCCCACACTCAACACTGCTCACCTTTACTACTTCCTTCACCACCCCCTACGTCGTGGACCTGTTTCCCTCTCTTCCCATAGCATTTTAGGATTGCAGATACATTAATGTAATTTCCAAAGACAGTTCCCACACTTTGCACTGCAAGTCTTACTACTTCCTTCACCATTTCCTACGTCATAGACCTGTTTCCTTCCCTTCTCATAGCATTTAAGTATTAGATACATTTATCTAACTGCCCAAACGGTTCCCCCACTCTGCACTGCCAGCCTTTACTACTTCCTTCACCACTTACTACGTCGTGGGGCCTGTTTCCTTCCCTTCTCATAGCATTTTAGGATTGAAGATACAGTAATTTAACTGCCTCAGACGGTTCTCACACTATGCTCATACTTTACTACTTCCTAAGCGACTTTCTACATCGTGGACCTGTTGTTTTCATCACTTTCCATAGCATTTTAGTATTTTATATACGTTAATCTAATTGCCACAAACATTGCCCACACTCCGCACTTTTAGCCTTTACTACTTCTAATAAATAAAAGGTTAAAATACCTGCTTGTCGCCTTGTGGTCCAAAGTATTGTCCTAGTGAATTATGTACATTTTGGCGCGAGCGCCATCGTCGGATCCGTATAAGAACTGTTTACACTAAACTTCCCTGAAGAGGTGCGTAAGATGTTCACAACACAAAACACACATAAAAACCGGTCGACCGTTAATTAACATTTTTAACTTTTGCTACGCGTGCACGGGCAGGATATGGAGGCGCGCCAGACGTGTGTTGAGACTCGACTGAAGACGGTAGTTGGTCGTGATCTGACCTTTGTCCTGGTGACGTAGCTAGTGCAGCATTGTTTCGGCTATTATTTATTTGTATTATGGTTTCAAAAAGAATGTTGGATTGCAGGGTGTTTTTGTTGTTTAACAGGTTGTTTGTTTCAATTTTAGAGGCTCTGTAAATTTCGAACCGTTCCAATGCCGTCATTGTTCGGCCTTTTTGGCAAATGTGTAAAGGCTGCAAATTTGTTGTTATATCAGTATAACTATGGTTACTGGCTACCAAATGGTCGGCGAAATTTGATTTTTGAACGATGGTTTTCTTGGGAAGATGTTCTTTAAACCTCTTTACAAAGGGCCTTCCAGTTTGGACAATGTAAAACTTATCACAGTCATTACAGGTTATTTTATAAACTCCTGTTTTTTGATAAAAATCCTGTGGTGCATTTTTTACGGAAAGGAGATTTTGGAGTTTGTTAGATGTTTTGAAGGCTACAATTTTGCCATGCTTTTTCATCTGGTTTTTCAGTGTATGGGAGAGGTTGGTTCCAAATTCAACTGATACATACTCCATTCGCTCTTTATGTATGTATCAGTACATATATAGTAGTATGTATCTGAGTATGTATTTGAGTATGTATCAGTTGAATTTGGAACCAACCTCTCCCATACGATGGCGCTCGCGCCAAAATGTACATAATCCACTACGACAATACTTTGGACCACAAGGCGACAAGCAGGTATTTTAACCTTTTATTTATTTGTCAATCAATTGGTCCGGAAACACCACAACAAAATATGAAGTTTACTACTTCTTTCACCATTTTCTATGTCGTGGGCATGCTTCCACCCATTTCAGCATTGCAGATACATTAATCTAACTGCTACAAACGGTTTCCAGTTCCAACACTCCACACTGCTCATCTTACTACTTCCTTCACCGCTTCTTACGTCGCGGACCTGTTTCCCTCTCTTCGCTCTTCCCATAGAATTTTAAGATTGTAGATACCTTAATCTAATCGTCATAAACAGTTCTCACACTCCGTACAGCTTGCCTTTACTACTTCCTTCACCACTTCCTACGTCACGGACCTGTTTCCCTCCCTTTCCATAGCAATTTAGGATTGCAGATACCTTAATCTATTGGTCATAAACAGATCCCACACTCCGAACAACTCGCCTTGACTACTTCCTTCACCACTTCCTACGTCACCGACCTGATTCCCTCCCTTTTCCATGGCATTTTAGGATTGCAGATACCTTAATCAAATCGTCATAAACAGTTCCTACACTCCGGACAGCTCGCCTTGACTACTTCCTTCACCACTTCCTACGTCGCGGACCTGTTTTCTTCCCTTTCAATAGAATTTTAGGAATGCAGATACGTAAATCTAATCGTCATAAACACATTCCACACTCCGGACAGCTCGCCTTGACTACTTCCTTCACCACTTCCTATGTCGTGGACCCATTTTCCTCCCTTCCCATAGAATTTTAGGAATGCTGATACCTAAATCTAATCG